ATCTAGCTGGGCTCTGTCAGTCTCTTCTATCGTGCTACCAAGAAGGGTTGTTCGCCAGGGTGTTGTTTAGGGGGATACCCTTCTTCTTTTTTTTTTTATGCAGAGGTCTATTCATCATTTTGGTTGGTTGGTTGGGGGAGGGGTACCCTTCTGCCAGTCGATCAGTAGAGGAATGACGATGAATTTACCCGCAGCTGGCACCGACCGATTCATAGATGCGATTGTCTCAACTTCTGTGTTGAAAAGGGAAGCGCGGGGAGGGAGGCTGTGAACCGATCAGATCTGCTTGTGATTAACGCTCCCACGTGGGTGCTAGCAATATTTGAAATTGGAAGTCAGAGTCTGTGATGCAATTGTCAGTGGCTGCTGGATTGGCTCGTACTGTTAAGTTTTAACATATTTTTTAATGATTTTCCTGTGAGCCCAGCGGCTGGCAGCATCCAGCTGTTCCAGAATGTGGGTGTGTCTATGCTGCCGGATCAGATGTAGAGCCTTTTTTTTTTTGAACTCTGATGAGGTCCTCCTGCCTTGGTAGACGTCATCTACCACTGGGCAGGAGCTGGTTGAGTGGGCAGGCGGGCAGGTTGGCAATGCAGGCGCGAGATTGTGTGCGGAGGTGGTGAAGCGGCAGCAAATGTGGCGGGAGCATTCCAGTACCTGTTTTCAGTGGTAGTGTGGTCGGCGCAGCTTGCTAATCAGGAGTAGGGTGACCGCTCCGAATATCTCAGAGGAGGGAGGGGCTGATAAGAGAGAAGAGAGAGAAACAGAAGAGGAGGGGAATGTGTCGCTGGGTCGCGTTAGAAATTAGAATTGAATTGCTGAGCACCATGAGGTCTAGAAGTTCATTCATTATTACCAAGGCTGCATCGGCTGACGATCTTGATGATGTCAGTGCTGGGTATCTGGACAGCACTAAGTACTAATCTATGTTCAAGTGTTGAGCCACACTTGTTACGTAGATCTTGATGATGCGAGCACCGCGTCCCTAGACAGTATTACGCGCTATTCTATCCTATGTTGAAGGGTTACGCCACACTTGTTACGCTGCTTTGAGACTGTGCTCCACTTATAGAAGCTGAAGGGCTTGGACCGGAGCAGTGAGTGTGCGGCTCGTCTGCTCTGTACTGGATGTGACTGTTCAATTATTATTTACTTATGAGTCTTATGACAAATGGGACATGGGTGCATTGGAGTGCATTCCATCATTTCTCTCTTGAGACATAGCAGGGAAGAGAGCAATTATTTCATTTCACTTCATTTCATTTTGTTTCGCTGCGGCTCCTAGATGCAATCATCCGTTCGGTAGTCATAAGTCAAAACTTTTGGGGGAAAGAGTTTTCTAACTTTTCTTTGTATGGGAGCGGAAAAGCGTGTGGGAAGTTATCGATCGGACAACGAGTTGTATGTATATAACATGCAGACATTTAGCGAAGGTGGCAGCGATTGTTGCGTGACTACCAAGGGTTCGCTGCCATTCCTGCAGGGGCACCATTTTAGGAAACTCACGATAACGATCTTGTTGTTGTTGTGACTAAAAGGGAAAAGTTTGTGATGAATGTGTGAGTGGAGGGGGCGGGGGTGGTTGGTTGAGGGTTGGTGAGGGAGGGGGGTGAGATGGAGGGGGGAGGCAGGGGTTTTCGCTGTTCTAATCCCTGGCTCTGCAGCTGCAAGCATGGACTGCCTGTTGGTTCAGGGCCTCCAGCTAAGGTCAGTATCCACCAGCGGAGGAGATTGTGGCCCTGGCCCACCCTGAAGTTACAGTATAGGTCACAACTTTGTGATGACGTGTATGAGTGGGGGGAGGGGGGGGGGGGGGGGGAAGGGGGGGTGCCTGGGAGCGTCAGGCTCAGATTGAAGATTGAGGGTTGGTGAGGGGGGGCGAGATGGTGATGAGACGGGGGGGGAATTTCTCAGCGTTCGTTCCTGGTTCTGCAGCTGCAAGCATGGAGTGCCTGTGGATGAAGAGCCTCCCGCTGAGGTCAGTGTCCACCAGCAGCAGAGGAGATTATGTCCGAGTGGGGGGGGTGAGGGTGGGTGCCTGGGAGCATCAGGCTCAGACGGAGGGTTGGTGAGGGGGGGCGAGATGGAGATGAGACAGGCGGTATACTTTCTCAGCATTCATTCCTGGTTCTGCAGCTGCGAGCATGGAGTGCCTGTGGGTGACGAGCCTCCCGCTGAGGTCAGTGTCCACCAGCAGCAGAGGAGATTATGTCCGAGGGTGCAGTATACGTCAAGAGTTCAAAACCGCTCTATTTCCCCAGGACAGCTCAGGGGGCAGATCTGCATGGAAGGGGCCCAGGAGAGCCCTGGAAGGCCAGCCAGAGGTCCTTCCCTCCATAGGCGGGAGGGAGCCTTGGCCACGGGACCTTGGAGGAAAAGCACTCCTGAGAGCAGCGGATTTTGTCCGAGGGTGTTGCAGTATAGGTCAAGAGTTCAAAACGTTCTATTTCCCCTGAAACGCTCAGGGGACAGATATGAATGGAAGGCCCAGGAGAGACCTCCAAGGCCAGTTAAAGGTCCTTCCCTCCCTAGGAGGGAGGGAGCCTTGGCCAAGGGACAGAGGGGGTTGAGGTGTGGCCTGGAAGAAGGAGAGGAGGGGGGGGGGGGGGGGGTGGTTGTTGCCGATGTGGGCTGCTTGAGGGAGGGGATATGGCGACGGGCTTAAGAAGACAGACGGTCTGCTGGCGTTATCGAGGGTAACAATGACCTGGCGTCAGTCAGATTGGGGTGGACCTTGTTGAGCCCCTCAGGGTCCTGGTCGAGTTGCGAGAGGAGAGGGCTTTTGGGAGCTCATGGACTCAGGCTGGAGGGCAATTCTCTAGCATGTGACAAACACTTAAGAATGACCTGGCCTCAGTCAGATTGGGGTGGACCTTGTTGAGCCCCTCAGGGCCCTGGTTGCGTTTCGGGGGCAGAGTGCTTTTGGGACCGCGGGATGGAGGCTGGAGGGTGATTGCCGTGCAGGCAACAAACAGTTAAGAACCCCTTTTCTTTTCTTTTCTTTTCTTTCTTTTTTAATTTTAAATGCTTTTCGTTTTAAAATTAAAAAACAATAATAATGAATAGGCTCTTCGTATTTTGGGGTACATCGATCTGGCAATGCTTTTCCGCTTGCTAGACAGGAAAAAAAAAAAAGAAAAAAAAAAAGACACGGTGCATACGATGGACAACCAGTCATATGACTCAGGAGGTGGAGGATGACGGCTTTTACTCTTCATAAAATTTTTTATGTGCTCCTCACATGAGACTGTGAGCGCGGTGTTGTTGCTAGCTACTACTCACGGATTTCATTCTGTGCTCTTTTCTGTGGAGTTGCGTATAGCAGACATGACAACACGCACGCCAAAAAAAGACAAACCCATTTCCTTTTGCTTCCCTAGTTCCGGCTTTTTATGTGATCCCGTTTCTGTAGATGGCTTCCGGCCTGATGCAAGGGCAGAGGACCGGAGGTTGGATAGAGGGTCCGATATGTTGCTCGAACGCTGCCACTGAAAATCGTCATCGATCGGGGAGAGGAGCACTGACGCAATTGATCACAGTTGTCATGGATCGATTTTCAGTTGTAGAGAGGGTCAGTAATGCTGCTGCAAGCATTGGATAGAGGGTCCGACCGATATGTTGCTCGAACGCTGCCACTGAAAATCATCCTCGATCGGGGAGAGGAGCACTGACGCTGCCGGGGTCTTGGATCCGTACTACGCATTTGCCTGAAACCTGAGAGGCTGAGATTGACAGACGTAACCTGTCTGCAGAGTCGGTATGCTTCTGTAGGGCTCAGAAAAAAGTGCAATTGCGTCCTCCTTCCACGGCTGCCACTGCCCTCCACACCTTGAGCCATCCTCAACCTACCTCCCTCCTCTCTAAAAGCCTGCGGGCGTCTGCTAGAGGGGGTGGTACAAGCAGCCCAACCTACAAGATTACCATGCCCTTGTCGAAGAACTTGCGATGTTTTGGAATGGTGGCGAGATGTGCTGGTGTTTGGGGTATTCATGAAAGAAACGTTGGCAGCAGCAGTGTAGCACAGCGAACATGTTTGGGGGGTTTCGCAAACACGCGAAGATTTTCCTGCATTGGGACTCTGGAGGGATTTGTTCACCCGGATATGATCGCCCATATGTGGGAGAATGTTTTTTTTTTTTTTTTTTTCCCCTGGGATTTTGATTTTTAACTCGCGTTCGGATAAGAATTTGGAGATCAAGGCAAAAGTTGTTTGTATTATTATTTTATGAAACAATGAGAAACATACAGTTATTTTAACTGTTTTCAGATTTTTGAATTTTTCTGAGAACTTTTTTTTTTTTTTTTTTTTTTTTTTTTTTTTCTTGCGTTCGGAGTGTTTTGGCGCCCATTGGGTGATCACTTCCCATGCGACTTTCGGCAGAAAGTTGTCATCATTCATTTCTTCTTTCCACAAGTAGTGAGTCAGCAGATTACGCATCATTCGAAGGGAGGCAGTGCCCAACTGAAAAATGGCTCTGTGGTACCAAATTGTAGAGAGGACAGAGTTATTTATAACTATCAAAATTGTAGAGAGGACAGAGTTATTTATAACTATCACACGGCCAAACAAACTAACTCCTTTGTGCCGAATCCAAGGTTGCAGCGCCTCTCTCACCGCTAACAAAGCTTGAGAAGAAAAGGAGATTCTATGCTCCAGTAAACGTTCTTGCTGTGTCGGGACTACCACCCAGAGTCCCCAGTGAGGAGCAGGGACCCCGGGCGGGATTAACGCTAAAGACTTAGACCAATTCACTGCAGCCTACGAAATTTGACAGAAAAGATCTATTCTTTGTTTCAATGCTTGGAATGCCTGATCAGACACAGGAGTCACTGCGACGGAGTCATCAGCGAATGCCTCGGTTTTAAGGGCTCTCTCCAGAAGGACGTAAAAAGCCTGGTATAAGAGGATCGGCTCGAATCATGACATGAAGAATTTCTACATACAATATATACAAATAGGGGGCCACTGCACACCCCTGACGAACTGATCTCGACAAGGGAATGGGACAGGATAACGATCCATAAACGGACAATCTGGAAGAAGCATTTGTGAACAAGGTCGTTACCGCTCTTTTGAACTTCAAACCAAATCCAAATGTTGTCATCGCCGCCATAAGGAATTCCCAACCCACTCGGTCGTACGCTTTTTGGAGATCTAACAGGATTATGGCCAGTTGTTCCTCGCCTTCAGATACCAACTGTATAGTTTATTGGATTGTCATAACATTGTTGAAAATCTGCCTGTCAGGCAAGAAGCCTGTCTGGGTCGGATGTGTCAAGGAAGGTAACACCACCTGCAATCTGGCCGCCTGTATTTTACCAAAAAATTTGTAAATCACTGGCATCAATGTGATTGGTCGATAGTTACGTACATCTGTCAGATCTTTTCTCTTTGGTATGAAGGTTATGATTCCTTCCAACACACTCTGCGACATCGGTGCCCCTGACCATGTCGACTTACAAAGGTGAAACAGGTCTAGTAAAAATTGAGGGTTGAATCTTTTGAACAAAATAGAGGGGAGCCCATCCCCTCCTGGCATCTTGTGAGTGGACAGTGATCTAACAGCTTGTGTGACCTCAGTAATCTATATATTTGCTTCCTGATATTGTGACTGGCTGTCCTACAGTGTGCGTTCCACCTTGGACCAGACATCGTCCGTGTGTTGTTGGAGCAATTCTTCTTCTGTATACTGCGCCTGTGACTTCAGCAGACTCTCGTAGAAAAGAGAAACATTTTTAATTATTGACACAATGTCTGTTGCCACAGACTCTTGTTCTTGGAAGGGATGCCTCATGGCTACCATGAGCCGCGGATTGTGATGGGGGCGGTGACTGTCAAAAAAGGAAGCTGTCATCCTATCCCCTCTAACCAGCCAATCTATCTTCTTCCTATGTATCGTCATGCGTATGGCTGGCTGAATTTGAAAGGCCCATTTTTGTCTAATCGAATCCATTGCCTCCATAATTTCTATTTCATTACCCTGCGCCACGACCGCTTTTTTCATCAAATCTGCCATGTCATCATTCAGTCTAGCTAATTGCGCTCTTGTGTTAGCTGCTAGCATCTTCTTCATAGCCATCCCTCTAGCCAAAACCGTTCGCAGGCCTCCTTGGTACCAATCAGCAAGCGACGAAAAAAACGGTCTTGCCGAGCGCCAATTTGACCAAAATTCTCGCAAAAACAGGGCGAAATCCTGTGTGAACAACACCCATTCGGGTAACAGTACACCGTCTGCTCCAGCCCTAACTGTAGAATGCAGAATTTTTTTAAAAAAAAGGGGAAGATGATCAGAGCCTACAAAAGGCACTACAAAACATCTAGACAATCTACGCAACAATACATCCGATCCATAAACAGATTTATGCTCCTTCTTGGGATGTACGCTTGCTCTCTTGCACCAGCAGCGAAAAAGGTATAACCTTTTTCGAAGGGGTGCAGGAGACGAAAAACATCTAAAAATCCATGGACTGTATAAAACTCAGACAAATGAACCGCATCGGCCGACGCAGGGCCCGGTCTGAAAGAGTCCACCCCCGGTATAAAGACAGTGTTCCAATCACCTCCCAAGACAAGGTTGACAACCGTAGAAAGTTTCCATGGCAGCGATCCATACAACTCTATTCTAGCCTGTACTGAGGTGGGGGCGTACAAATTAAAAACTGCCCATTCCTGTTGACACATTGTGAATCTCACCCAAATCCATTTTCCAAGATGATCCATCCTATAATCTGTGACAACACACGGCGCCGCACGAGCAAACAACACTGCTACTCCACCTCTGGTACCTTGGGCCGGAGCCCAAAACTGCTGCCCCGACCACCACCCCATCTGTTTTGATATAGCATCCTCGTCCAATTTCGTCTCTTGTAGCAAAACAACCTGCGCTCCTTTGCTCCTTGCTAGTGTTTTGACAAGAGATCGTTTAATCACCACACGACGGGACCCAAGGCCACGAACATTCCAAGAAATAATACGTAATTTTTGTCCATTGTTTTCAGTCGGTCCAATCCTTACACTTGAGCATGAGAAGGTTGTTGGAAAAAAAGCTCTTGTGCCACGGGGAGTTTGCATCCACTTGCTTCAAAATCCCCGCATTCCAACAGTCGTAAACTTTTCAAGTGCAGTCTGGCCAGTGGGGTTACTGAGGAGAGCAAGCGAAATCCATCTCAAGCCCTTCAGCGGTGCTTCACTCGTGCTGCCGGATTAGCTACGGCATCTATGATAGGAAAGTAGAGAATATCAGTCCTTCCTTCATCATTAGTCGGAGCCAGTCTGATCCAATCCATCTCCGAATACGCCCTCAATTTGAACGCCGGGGTCAACCATTTTGTGATTTCTCTGAAGACGATTCCTGGCATGGGGTCTTCGTGCAGTTCGAAATGAGGAATCGCCAAATCGCCTTGATCAGACATGGCCGCCATGACATTAAGCTCACCATCCGTTGCTAAAAAGATAAGGGGGACGACCACACAGGGCTTACCGCCTGCCATCGCATCGAGTATTGATCCTGGAAAAACTGCAGCTCGTGTGTATTGTTGTTGTTGATGTTGCTGTGTTTCATCCTGGAGCTGAGACGGGGCCCGTGTAGCAATCTGTTTGCCCTTATCTTTCTGTACTTGTCCCTGGTCCGATTGAGGTTGTTGCAGACCATGTTCTGTGAGCATAAACTGTTCTGTTTTCTCTTCGTCATCCCGAATGTCCGCCCACTCTTCCCTCTCTTTATTGTTGTCTAACTGCTCCCCTTGTCCTGGTTTAGCATACGGTTTGTAAGCAGCCTTCTTTGGCCCACCAGCCAGTTTTTTGCGTCGGGAAGGTTGGAGGGAGCTTTTTTGCTGAAGCATTGGCTCCTCTCCCCCTGGAATCGCTTGTTGCACGATCGATCCCACTGCTACAGTCTCCATTGGTGTTGCTCCCTTCACCGTCTCCTCCCTCTGTTGAATGATATGCTCATGCGGCGACCCCCCCCCCCCGTTCCTCCTGGCACTGGAGGAGATCCATCTGCAGCCCCAACAGGGACCAGTGCAGGGCCTCCCACTGAAAGAGGACCACTGCCAGCCCCAGCAGGGGCCGGTGCAG